CACACACACACACACACACACACACACACACACACACAGGTTTTATTGCACAGAATTATCCCCTCAGGGCTCAAAGTTTAAAAACTGTTATTTCAGGTTCAACACTTTCCTCTGGCTCCCATCAGGAGCTGAGAGGAAATCAACTCTGGAATTAACAAAACATGAGCATTTTATAAGCTATGCCTCTAAATAACACACTAAAAAACTACACACACGTTTAAAATCACCTGCTGTGAGACTCTGATGTTTTGACGGTTTTTATTTTAAAACTATTCAGGAGAAAATGCAGCATTTAAAGACAGAACAAACTAGTTTTAGTTTCTGTGTTTCAAGTGAAGGTCAGCTAATTAACCACAATGTAAAAATGAAGACTTTATAAACTAGAGAAATTGCATTTCCTGTGAAAATGCAAGTGTGAATGCCTGTTGCTGAAAACTTTAGCTGAAAGCTGCTGAAGAAGCTGAAATTGAAAAAAAAGAAGCTGAAAATTGAGCTGAACATCTTTTAGAAAAGTATTATTGTAAGTTAAATTTGAAAAAGCTGAAAGAAGCAAAATAAAATGCAGAAAAACAGTAAAAAGGAGCAAAAATATAGCTGAAATAGTATAAAAAAGCTAAAAGATAAAGGCTAAAGTAGCTGAATATAGCAGAAAGCAACCGTAAGATGCATAAATAACTCAAATTAGCAGAAAGAGGCACAAAAAGTAAAAAAGGCAGAAAAATAGAAGGAAGAAGAATTTTAGTGGAAATATCTGAAAAAAGCTAAAACTAGCAAAAAAGTAGCTGAAACTTTCACAAAGACTTGATGACTGATGTGTCAGGTTCTGTAAAGATTTAAAAACATTATGAAGAAATTTAAGGATGTTGAAAAAAGATCCATTCATTTTCAATGAGAAAAAAGTAGCCGAAATAACTTTGGCTACAATTGTTAAATTTTCTTGAGCTTCAGTATATTGTAGAGCATGCTCTCAGCTACCAGCACATAAGTTTTCATGTCAATATGTCAAACACTGGCTGAATAAAAGGCATTTAAAACTAGCTTTGGTGGCCATCTTGGATATTTTTCAGCTGCTATTTATGATAGAGCTAAGTCTCAGGTACCTACAGTATATATTAGTTTATAGCTCATTATATCAAAAAATGGCCAGAATCAAGTATTTTGAACTAACTTTAAATAATAACAGCTAAACTTTAGCTAAAATTGCAGAAAATAGCTGAATATTGCAGAAAGCAAATGTAAGAAGCATAAATAACACAAATTAGCAGAAAATGTATAACAAAGCAGAAAAGCTCAGACAAATAGCAGAAATAACTAACATTTAGCTAATATAGCAGCAAAAAGCTAAAGTTAGCATAAAAAAGCTAAAAGTAGATGACTTAAGTTGAAAGTAGCTCCCAGATGGTGAAATGGACTGCACTCATATAGTGACTTTCTACCCATCCAGGACACGCAAAGCTCTTCACACTCACATTCACACACTGATGATGGCAAACTACACTGTAGCCACAGCTGCCCTGGGGCACACTGACAGAGGTGGGGCTGCCATGCATCGGCGCCACCGGACCCTCTGACCACCATCAGTAGGCAAGGTGGGTGAAGTGTCTTGCCCAAGAACACAACGACTGAGATGACTGGACGGGGATCGAACCGGCGACCTTCCGGTTCCAGGACGACTCCCCTAACCACTCCGCCACAGCCATCTTATTCACCATTCCATGGTGAAATGGATGTAAATAAATTCAAAATTAGCAGAAAAAACCCATAAAAATATAAAAAAGTGATCTTTTGAAGTAAAATATGTAAAACAGCCGAAGTTTTCATAAAACAGCTAAAAGTAGCTGGAAACATTTTAATTAGCATAAGGATGCATAAGAAGCACAAGTTTGCTGAATTTAACAGAATTAAGTTGAAATAGCTCTAAAAATGTGTAATTTGCATAGAAAGCTAACTTTGGCTAATAACAGCTAAAATTTAGCTAAATTTGATAAAAATAGCTGAATACAGAAAAAAGCAACTGTAAGAAGCATAAATAGCACAAATTAGCTGAAAAAAGTATAACAAAGCAGAAAATAGCAGAAGAATAGCAGAAAGAAGTAGAATTGTAGCTATTGTAGCAGCAAAAAGCTAAAGTTAGCATAAAAATAAGCTAAAGTAGCAGACTCAAGTTGAAAGTACCACCCAGATGGTGAAAGGGTTGTAAAACTTTCAAAATTAGCAGAAAACCCCACAAAAAACTACTAAAATGTGATCATTTGAAGTAAAATAGGAAAAACAGCTGAAGTTTTCAGTAAAACAGCTAAAAAAATTGCTGGAAACGTTTTAATTAACATCAGGATGCATAAGGAGCTCAAGTTTGCTGAATTTAGCAGAATAAAGTTGAAATAGCTCCAAAAAAATGTGTAATTAGCTTAGCAAGCTAACTTTGGCTAACAACAGCTAAAATTTAGCTAAATTTCTAGAAAATAGCTAATTATTGCAGAAAGCAACGTTTAGAAGCATAAACAGTACAAATTAGCAGAAAGAAGCACAAACAAATCTGAAAAAAGCAGAAGAATAGCAGAAAGAAGCAGAACTATAGCTGAAATAGCAGAAAATAGCTAAAGCTAGGAAAAAAGGAAGTAGCTAAAATTTGCACAAGAGAGTAAAATAGAGCATAACCAGAACAAATTTTGTAAGGTTTTGTAGAGATTTAGAAACTATTTGAAGGATTTTAAGGTTGTTGAAAAATAGCCCCATTCAAAGTCAATAGGAAAAAATGTGGCTAAAAAGTTGAAATAGCTAAAAAATATATAAATAGCTAAAATAATAAAAGTCATAGCTGGCATTGCACGAAAGAGCTGAATGTTTTAATATATGAATGGTTGAAGTAGCACAAAAATTGTGGAATGAGAAAGGTGCCGAAAAGATGATCTCAACAGTGTGAATGCCTTACAGGTATTCACACAATAAAATGAGGACCAGTAGACCTGATGAGCCACAGTCATCAGTCATCAGACCACTGAGAACAAGCTGAAAGCCTCACCTTGATGGCATAGTTGACCAGTGGGTTCTTGGCGTAGGAGGCAGTGTAGTAGACAGCGTCTCCTGCCTCACAGCAGGGTTGACCAGTAGTCAGTCTGAAGTGGGACCAGCTATCCGTTCCAAATCTCAAGTGATCCTTCTGACCAGCCATAAAGCGGTCTTCACACTTTGATGCCAGCTTCCGTAGGGTATCTGTGTGGAGCCCCCGGATCCTCCCCACCACCTCGTCCCAGCTGTCCAAGCCCCTGTAAAGAGCAGGTCTCTGTGGTTTGGAGGCACCTCCTCCAGCAGCACCACGCCCTGCGGCACCACCCCTCCCTGCCAGAGACTCTGTACTTGGGAAGACCTTCTTCTCCTGCCCAGAGGTGGTGCTGGGGGCAGAAGGTGTAGAGTGGGGGGCCTGGGAGGTCACAGTATTGGTCAGGCGAACCTTGCCGGCAGTTGACGGCCTCTCCAATGAGTCACCACTCTCGTGGTCATGGGCTCGATGCGCTTCAGAGCTGAGAGAGGAACTCTGGCTGGCTGTCTCCCAGGTGGAGTCCAAGTCGTAGATGGGGTTGGCCACACTCAGGTTAGTGCCCCCAGGTTTGGCCTCAGCTCGAGGTCTCAGGGTGGGCTCTTTGCCTCCCAGGGTGGGTTCAGTACTGGAGCGAGGAACAACCTTTTTAGGTAGTGGTGGAGGTGTAGCTTTGAGCACTGCCTGCTCACTGGTGCCATCCAGATCTATGGAGGCCAGGGTGTCGTTGGAAGATTTGATGTTCCGAGGCTGCTTCAGTGGGATCATATTGGCTCGTGATTGTCCTGGAAAACAAAAACACAAACTGTGTTACCCAAATAAGGTTTATTCAAGTTCTATCTCCAAAAAGGCTCAACCAGTAGGTCCAATCATGGCCTTCCAGTGCCTGATTCAATGGTTGACCTCTCTTCAGAATGTCCTTAAGTTCTGCCTGTTAATCCCCTATCAGCCAGAGGCCAACTGAAACAAAAAACATGAACATGTAGGACAAGGACTAGGATTAGACATTACAGGGTTGAACCTTCTACACCACAATGACAAGTTGATCCTACGGAACAACAAGTTAAAATATATCTGAAGCTTGATTAGAAAGTTCTGGAAATAAAAAAACAGATTTATGTTGACATAAAACACTTCATTCATTGTGATCCAACAGGTCAGCTTTAGCTGTGGTTGAACACATCTGAATCAGGACATGTTTAAAAAGTCCGATGGTTTCATTGCACTACACTTCAGCTGAACTTTATCACTTCAGCTTAATCCCAACAAAACACTTACCTGTTTATTTTACTTTAAAGGCTAAAACCCATTGTCTTTGTGAATCTTTTGAGCTTTCATTTGTTAAAAACATCTCAACCCTTCTGTGATATATTACAAGAAATATTTGAGTCTAATAGGTTGAAAGGGACTTTTTCAATTAAGATGTGTTCTGAGTAACTGATCTGCAAAGATAAAGATTTATACAGGTAAAACATGAAGAACACTGCTGTTAAAGTTATTTTCCATTTGAAAAGTTCTCACAGTTATACCAGAGTTACTTGATTTGTTTTTACAGAGTTCTTGGCTTGTGAAGACGAGAACCTTTATCATGGATTTGTGTCGCGGCACAGAAAGGAGATGACGGCCATTAAAAACACATCTAACTCAAAAGCAGGACCGGTGTCTGCACACCAGATGATTCTCCACCTTCACTGCCTGCCTCAGACTAAACATGGCAACATGGAGAGCAACTTTGTGAGATGTTTGTTGGGGAATTAAAGTGTTAAGGGATCGATTAGACTTGTTAAACGTCTTTTGGTGGGGAGAACAGAGACAGATGAGTCAGAGAATCACGTCAGATCAAATGAAATGAGCAGAGGATGTACCTTTCACCTGACAGGAAATAAGGACTAAGCTGTGCAGGTTTAGAAGGTCACAAACAGCCATCAGTGCTGCTGTAATTAACCAGGAACACAGATTGTATTAAAGATGTTTCTTTCAGGCTCCTGAGTGTCAGAATATGTCTTTACTCATCCATCGTTGTGGTGAAGACACACGTTTAAACTTTCTGCTTACAAAAACTCCACTGATTGTGCATCCCAGCTCAACAGGATGAGTAACTGGTCACGTGGAGGTCACGCTGCCATGGTCTTAAGGATGGAGGAAAAGCAGTCAGGATGAAGTAAATGAGTCCTGGTAATCCTCCCAGGAAATGAACATATTAAATGTGTTCCTCTACCAATCTGCTGTAATCCATCTCCCTCGTCCTCTCACACAGATCAACCAGGCTGAGACTTCACTCACTTAAAGAAGTCACTTTGTTGCATTAAAGAACCCAACAAAAACCTTTCAAGACAAATTAAATGGATTTAACCCAACTCTGACAAACTAATGTTTACATGTAGGACTGATTCACTTTGGAGTCAACCCAGTTCAAGATGGCCGCCACACTCATCTGATTGTTGGAAATACAGAAATGATTCATAATTCAGCCAATTACATGACTGTCCAGATGTTACAAACTGTAAGAACGTTCCAGATGTGTGATAATCACAGCTTCTTCAGCAGTTTAACCACATCACTGTTAAACTCCACAGTTTTTGACCAGTGTCTCTCAGTGGGAGGTAAGACTCATGACAAGACCAGACTCAGTTTGTTCCCATGAAGACCAACAGTTTGTTACATTTGTCAGGATTAGAGTTTCTGCTGCTGCCGCTGTGGAACCAAATCAAGTTCCTCTAAACGTTTCTGATGTTTCATCTCAAGTTTCAGCACAGACATCAACATAAACCAGCACTGATCTAACACGTTAGTTCAAAGATAATGTGAAAACCCAGAGAGGATGAACTGAACTGTTACACTGCAGTGAGAAGAGAAGAAGAGCCAAAACAACAAGGGTCCAAATGAAGCAGATGAGTGAAACTGACCAGAGGGTCTGAGCAGAGAAAACAAGAGAAGACACATCAATACCAGGAGATAAACACAGAAACACAGGTAAACACAGGTAAACACAGATAAACACAGGTAAACACAGATAAACACAGGTAAACACAGGTAAACACAGGTCAAACAGCCTACCTTAGCTCCACTAAAGCCCTGAAGTTGTTCTAAGTGTGGTGCAGCAGCTGAGCTGGGAGCAGAATGAAAATCTCTTCATGTCAGAGTGTGAGAGGAGTTCTGGTGCCAACAGACAGGCTGGGAGCTCTGCCTCCTCCTGATGCTCTGATTTAACACATGTTCATGAACACCAGCAGCAGAGGAGACCAGGTTACAAACAGTAGGGAGAGGACCAGACTGCACGTCTCATCACTCCACCTCCAAGCAAACATGATGTCATCACTCCACCACAAACATGATGTCATCACTCCACCGTCAAGCAAACATGATGTCATCACTCCACCGCCAAGCAAACATGATGTCATCACTCCACCGCCAAGCAAACATGATGTCATCACTCCACCGCAAACATGATGTCATCAGTCAGCAGGGCTTCTTATCAGACCTGCAGGAAGAACTCTTCCTCTGTTGTTCCTCATTAGCAACATGCAGAAAGTAAAAATAGGCTCCAGGCAGCTCATCATACACCAACCAGAGAGAGATTTAACACAATCACAACACATCTACACACTGCACAATCACAACACATCTACACACACACTGCACGTGCACAACCAAGCTGTAGAAACCCTGCACTTTTAAAGCTCCTACAGCAGCTTCAGCTGACCCCACAGATAAACAAAGAACTATTTGATCCCTGATGAGTCATTTAACAGGAACACAAAGAGCCTCTGCTGCACAGACCCACACTCTTATTATGTTGTTTGTGTTTCATCTCCTCACACCACTCAATCCTACTTCTTCACTCACTTCAGGGCTTCATTTCTTTAAGTGACAGCACTTGTTGCAGCAGCAGCTCCAAGCTGCTGACACAAACTACAGATGAAACAAAGTGTCAGCAGAAGTCGGTAGAAAAAGGAGCCACAGGTTCAGATCAATGCTACAGTGTTGGAGGAAAACAAACATGTTCACACACCTCTGATTTATTGACTGCTTTCTGTCTTCTTTCACTAAGTAGCTGATGAGAAATAATACGTTTCACTACATCTGGTGTTTTATATTTCCATGTCAGAGAAATCCATCAGATCCTTCAGAGAACTCAGTGTGTAATAAGTGTCAGATTCTCCTGGAGCGAGGACATTAAACATGGTGAATTAATTACATTTAATTAAATTAATTAAATCAAACACGCAGCGACGCTGCGGCTGATTGTGTAGTGCACTTTGTTTAGGTAGAACAGAAGAAGCACACAATCAAATCTCATTTGACTATGTTAGGTGACCAGTGTCATCTGTTAATCTATGATCGATACGGGTACATGTGTTGTTGCAGCCCAAATACATCACTTTACTACTAATAAAATGTTTAAAGAAATCTTAAAGACATAAAAACAAAGACGAATTTTAGAGTTTTTTGTTTTGAAAGGCAGACAGAATAAAGAATAAAATGTAGATATTTTCAATCAGAAAACCAAGACATTAACAGAAATGAGAGAAAGTGATGTAAAATCAACCACCATCTGTGCAAGTTTCTTCCTGTGAAAATAGTTTAAGGAAGGACATGAGTTTAGATTCTGGTGCCAACAGGAACAGGAATGTTTGCTTCAGGGCAAAGACTCTGCACCTCCAGCTGACATGTTTCTAGTTATTCTGGGAAGCAGACTGTGGACGACAAGAAGTGTTGAGATCTTCAGCTGTTAGGAAGGAATAAAGGATGACTCTGTCACAGAAGAAGTGCACAAACTGAAGAGAAAGAACTTGTATCAATATTTATCTGCTGGCTAAGTTAGTAATGTCAGAAAAAGACACATAACTTTATTATGTGTTTGATAAATCCACTTCATTTAAAGCACAGAAGCTTTTAGCATCACTAACCAACAAACATGTGGAAACATCATCTTAGGTCAACATGAAGACACATTTAGTGTTTGTCTCTGAAGGCTGTTCTTACCCAGGTTACTGTAGGTGGCGCTGCACTGGCTGGAGCTGGTAGACTGGTTCCCGTCCTCCTCTGGCTCTCCCAGGCTGGTGCTGCCCTCTCTGGCTGAAACTGGTATGACACCCTGGTTGGCATGGCCATCCTCCACCTCCCCAAACACCAGTCCCAAATTCACTTTGGCAGGCAGAGGGATGACAGTGGGCAGCTCCCCCCGATTCCTGGCACTGCTCGCTGGCACCTGGCTGCACACGAGAGAGAAACAGCTCTATTTTATCTCTGCAGGGTGGCATACTTCCTCTGCTAAATACTTCATTCAGTGTGTTTTTACTTGTTTCTAAAGACTGCTGCCTTCATCGCTTGGTAGGTTATTCTACATCACAGGGTATATTCTACATTACACAAGTATATTCTACAATACACAAATATATTCTACATTACACAAATATATTCTACATTACACAAATATATTCTACATTACACAAATATATTCTACATTACACAAGTATATTCTACATCAGGGGTTCTTAACCTTTCTGACCTCGGCGCCCAATTTATTAAACATAAAATGACACGAGGTCCAGTCAGACATTACCATACAGATCAAAATGATAATTATTATAAATCTTGGTTTAAGTTTTATTCTATTTATATCATAACTAAACTATCATAACTAAATTAAATACACTTACAGTTTAAAAGTAAAACTCCTGTCAAATAATCACGAGAC